TTTGTCCTGTAGTCGTGTTTGGCGAATGGTTGGTGAATGAATTTGGCGAAATGTCCGCACCCAGTTGATCCGATGGATTTTGCGTTTTGAGGAATTTTTTTTGCAGGATCAATTGGATTTATTTTTGTTTTGATGGCCCAATTTTTGGGGATTCCGTTGTGAAGATGTTTTACGCGTTGTGATGAGAAGGGTTCTGGAGCTGAATCGGATTCAGCGATGTGAAGAATCGCAAATTTTTGCTTGAAAATGATAGAAAATTTTGGCGTTGTGGCGTTTTTCACGTTTTTCAGTTGGTTTTTTCTTTAATTTTGAAAGAAGTAATAGTTTATAGACGATGAAAATTATCTCCGTGGTGGTGAGGATTTTTTTCGGTAAAGCCTCCTCAATTCCACACTGAAATCCAGCTGCAGGCCTTACGTCTTAAAAATTTATAAAGTTGTCAGTTTATTCGCTCAAAATTCAGGTTCTTACTGCGTTCCAGTCCGCGTATGCGTTTAATTTCAGGTCAATTTTTAATTCGTGCTCTCTTGTTTGAGGTGATAAACAGCGAGCATTTGAAAAAAATTTTTAAAAATAGGGTTTGAATTTCAGGTTTCTGCAAAAATATTCTTATTTTGCGGGTTTCCGGGTTTTTGATTACTGGCTAGTAATAGTCAGTTGTCTTGTTGCTTAGCAGCAGAATCTGGGCGTAGTGATGAGTACCGCGGACGAGTCGTGCACCCCAGAGGAGAGTACCTCAGCGGGTTGTAGCTCTTTCAAGAGGTCTGTTTGCAGCCGACATCGCAAATCACAACGTTCAGTTCAAGGAGGGTGTGCATTTTTCAAGGTTAGCCGTTGGTGTTTCGGAATTTTTTTTTTGTTCGATTTTCCTCGGAGGGTCCGACCTGAAATTGGGCTGAGTTCCACTTGAGCTGAACCTGAATTCAGCCGGAAATTCAATTTTGTACTATTGGCATGGTGGACGAGGTTGTATTTGTATTTAATTTTGTTGGAAATTTTTTACAAAATACCCCCAACATTCAAGTGAAAATGTTTGCCTAAAATTAACACTTGCACCACACTTCAACTCGAGCTGAATTCAGCCTGAAATTAATTTTTTGTGTTGTAAGGGTGGCTGATGAGATGGTAATTTTTCGAAAAACTTTAAAAATTTTTAAAAATAATATTTCAGCGTTCCCATAAAAATGCACGATCGAAACGAAACCAAAAAAGTTGCGATGGTTTGCTGAGTGAAGAGTGCGATGGCGATATAGAAATTCTATACGAGAATATCAAAGAGCCAAATCCGAAGAAGCTGAAGTGCCAGCGAAATGAATTATTCGTTGGGGATTGCGAGAGAAATTCGTCGGTGAGGATCGATTTATATTTATTATTTTCGTTATTTCTAGTTATTAATAATTAATATTATTATTATTATTATTATTATTTTTAATACTCTATTTATTATCATTGTTATTTTTAGTATTCATAATATTATTAATACTTTATTGTTATTATTATTAATACTCTCTTATGCAGCGATATTAATAACATAACATTAAATAGTAGCAATT